GGCCCCCCCCCCCCCCAATGTCACCTACCTTAGGGGAGGCAGCAAATGCAGGTGGCTAGCTGGCTCCGGCACATCACTTCAGGAGCACCATGGCTCTGCAGGTTAGTGGGGAGCACAGGCAGAGCCACGAGGTGGGAGGATGCTGGAAGAGGGGCGGGGTCTTCCGGCAGCAAGGCATGGAGGAGAAACGTGGCGGAGTGGCCCCAGAGGTGGGGCAGAGTGCCATGCCTAATGCATGCTGCAGAGAGGCGCATGGGAGGGGGCCTCTGAGGCAGGGCAAAATGCTACATCTGACATATGCCTCAGCAAAACACATGGCAGAGAAGCTCCTGAGGTGGGACAGAGATGTGCAGCCAAAATGAGCAGCAGCGAGATGTGCAGGGAAGAGGCCCCGGTGCTGGGGCAGAGGCCCACAGCCGAGACGTGCCGCATTGAGGCTCATGGTGAAGGAGCTCCAGAGGCAGGGCAGGGTCCTGTGGCAGAGACCTGGGCCAGAGAGACCCCAGAGAGGAGTCCAGTAGGGAGCTGGGGCTGGCCCACCAATGCTGAAGGACAGAACATCAGCAGTGAGAGGGCCACACACAAAGAAAAGCAGGTGAGAGGTACCCGAACCAGTGACTGGAGTACTGACCAGAGCCATCTGGAAGTGCCTAGACTCGAACCAGATGGGCCCAAGGTGGGAGGGGCAGCAGCTTACTTGAGAGTGCCCTGATAATACTGTGGGAAAGTAGAAAAGGGCCAGAAGGCCAGCTGACTCCTAAGTAACTGGGAAATGGGAAGCCCTGCAGAAGAAGGAGGCGGCTCCCACCAGGAGCAAGTAGACCTTGGAAAGTATCTTGGGGCATACTACAGCAGACGCTATTTTTATCGTTCACATTCTGAGTATTTGTTTCTGAGTTGTTATCTCAAGAGAGAGAGCGCTTAGCTTTCCTGATTCTAACTCAAATCAACAAGAGACAGCCAGCACAGAGATGGCCTCTGGTATGGGCTCATACCAATGACTGTTGACTGACAGATGAGAGAATTATCATCTGTAACCTTAGACATCAAGACGCTGATGTCAATTCAGGCCCTGGATGTGGTAATGGTGGGGTATAGGGGAGGTTAGAGCATCACAAATAAGTCAGGGTGTGAGATCCCAAGAGTCACCTATGGGCAACTGTCTCCCAAGAAGATAAGAACAAGTTGTGGCATGCAAGAAGGAACAAATACCAGAATACATGGGTGGCACACGCAAGGACTCACCAGCGAGTAGGGTGTCAGCCAAGAGGGACCCAAGCCCACCAACATGTACCAACTACAGGGGTTTTTAAGTGAATTTTCCTTTTCTGGTCCTTCTCTATCAAAGGCTAGGAATGAAGCTGAAGTGGTAAATAAACAGCATTCTTCCTGGTACTTACAGTAACAAGAATCTCAAATGCTTATGTCAGGAGATTGATGAAGAGCTAACCAAGCTTGATAGATCTTGACATTTCATTGATGAGATGGTAGTGGTCCCTCAAAGAGCTCCTTCCTTATTCTTCACCAGATTCCCATCAGAATAATATTAATTATCATAGTACCATATTTTCTTACATATATACATACCTTTTTCCCAGAATCAGCCCTTCCCCTCACACTGGGGTTGTGTGTATTAAGCAGGGGAACAATGAGTTGAGGAGATCAGTGGGAGAGGCACTGGGGTCCTGGAGAGTTGGAACTGGGTGCCCAAGATGGGTGGTCGTTCCTTAAGGAGATGATACTCAGAGCCCAAGGGGTGACAATCCCAGTGAGAAGCAAAGAGGGCAAGGGTGCGCAAAAGCCCCCTGGCTCACCAAGGGCAGGAATGCCTGATTGCCAAAAAGGAGGTGTACACCCAGTGCAAGGGAGGGGCTATCACCAAAAAGGAGTATAGTTCCACCGCTTGGGTCTGTAGGGGGGCTGCTAGGAAAGCTAAGGCAGATATGAAACTAGGGCTAGCATCAAGGATAACAAAAAGTCCCTTTTTAAATACATAGGGAGCATGAAGAAGGCACCAGGTAATGTGGGACCCCTGCAGGATATGCTTGGCAATCTAGTGGTTGCACCAGAGGAGAAAGCAGACCTCTTTAACAATTTCTTTGCCTCCATTTTCTTTTCTTGTGCGGGGACCAGGACTCCCCTACCGAGACACTCAGGACACACTCAGGAGAAACTCTCTGCCAGGCCTAGGGTCAGGGAGGACTGAGTTAGGGAACTTCCGGAGGGTCTGGACATGTTCACATCAGCAGGTCCAGATGCTCTCCACCCCTGCCAGTTCCCTCAACACCCTGATCCTAGAGCCACAGCCTCTCTGGCAGATGCCACAGGTGGTGGTTAAAGGGAGAGTTGAACCTCACAATTCTTGGTCTTGTTTCCTTTCCTTCTATTTCTGTCATTTTTCTGCCTCCAGAGTGAGATGTTTTTCTCTCACAAGGCATCACCACGTAGCCCTGTCCCAGGCTAGTTTTTCCCAATTTGTGATGTCAATGCCACACTTCTTAATGTTCACCTTGAGAGTGTCCTTGAAGCATTGTCTCTGGCCCCTGTGTGTCCTTTGTCCTTGGCTGAGTTGGGCACATAGTTGTTCTTTTGGTAAACTTACATCAGGCATGTGTACACAATCCCCTGTCCACTACAGCTGATGTCGAATAATCACTGATTCTATGTTGGTGGTGTTAGCATCAATAAGGATACTGGCATTTGTGCGACGATCCTCCTACTTTATGCCCAGGATCCTCTGGAGGTAGTGCTGGTGAAGGTGTTCCAGGCGTTTTAGGCGGTCGCTGTAGGTCACTCATGTGACTGTTTTTCCAGAGAGATTCATGACCCTACATCTATGAACTATGAACTAATTTTCTGCATGATATAGAAGTACCTTGCTTTGATTCTTGTTTCTCAGTGCAGCACCTCTTATTTCACATCCCTGGAGACACTAACTTTTTCCAAAATCATAAATGCACCCATGGAAACCAGCCTTTAGCAAAATCCAGGGGTTCAGCTTTAATTAACCAGGAAAAGAAGGGTGATTCAGCTGACAAATAGGCTCTATAAAGCCACAACTCTGGAAAAGCCCTTTTTCTCTTCATTCTGCCTTTGAAAAACAAGGTACCTATTATATTCTAGGATGTGATGTATGTGAGAAAATGTGGCGTTTTTCTTTTGATTCAGTGGCCAGGATTTCAGTTTTAGATACTCATCTAAGAGACAGCAGCTCTGTATCGTGAGACACTGATTAATAACATTTAAGCTCAAGAAATCAGTTAGGCACTTACTTAAATCCCAGGTTTTCTGAACAAGAGCCTAAATCACCAATACCACTTCCAACAGGCATGCCTAGAGACATACCTTGTTTAGTACTCCTGATGAGGCAGCTGTA